TCTCATCACTCGATAGCTCTTCAATGGATTGCTTCAAAGTGGGAGACAAACGGTGCGCTCCTTTGGGCAACTGATCCAGTGATTGACTCAACACTACATTCAGACGACCGGCCAATGGCTTAAACTTCGGAGGAATCGATTCCCATGTCTTGCGTCCCATAATCACAGCATTCTGTCTGCCATCGATTGCTGTACTCGTGATTCGCGTGAAGTAAGCCATCTCTTCCTTCAGACGCCACGGAAGACGGCCTTCACATCCGATGCCATTCTCGTGACAGACGGCGCTTATTATGGCGAACGTCTTCTTCCCCACCGAACACATCGTCCAACCCTTCAGTTCCTCTTTCACTATACTTTTGCAAAGTTTGCCAAACTTTTAATGATGTAATGCTTGGAATATATTCACGAAAGCAATAACTTATTGACTAAAGTTTTGTTCCAAACAAATGAAACAATGTTTTGATCGCTATTTAGAACGCCTTTTCAATACTGTTATAACTGTTGAGACACTTATCAAGAGATGTCATTAGCTTTCAGATCCATTCCTCTCACCATTGGATTTGTCTCCAATTGAGACGCCCTTTGGGTCCTTAAGTGTGAAAATAGTGCAAATCTTGTAATATTTGTCAATTAATACTACAATTAATAGGACTGTACAGTAGAATAAGTGCAGTACATGTAATGCTATCAAATTGGAAGTAATTTGACAAACACTGAATTAAAGCCAATGCAATACAATGTATGTCATATTGAATAAATATTTCATGCATTTTATGGCACTCTAAACGAAAACGTTTGAAAGGAATCCTGAAATGAGATTCACCTGACATTCGCCTTACAGTTAGGGATCCCACATCGATGTGAACATTTAATTCAGGCTAAATCAGATTAAATATAGACATTTTGGACTACATTTTCACAAAAATGTGGAATATTCATAAGCTTTTAAACTAAATACTTTTAATGTGGTGAAATATATAATTTATAAATTGATACAAATAGTGAAGAATTAGATTTTGAGAATCAGTCAGTATTGTAGACTCGAGGGAGAGAGTCAGTGTTAGGCACTTGAAGTGAACACTTGTCTTAAGAATTGGTTTTTAACCACTATTCTGATATGAATAATGTGGTTTATAGGATCGTTCTGCCCCCC